GTCAGCCTTCCTGCTCCTATGGTGCTGCTTGGCCTGCTGTGTTCATCCAGCTCTACACCTTGTTATCTCAGATTCTCCAGCATCTGCAGTTCCTACTATCTCTGTCTACCTGTGACGCAAATTTCAAAGAATTATGTACTTGAACCCCAGGTCTCTCTGTTCTACAACACTATCCAGGGCCCTACCATTGAGTGTACAAGTCCTGCCATTGTTTGTTTTACTAAATGTAATACCTCAACTTTATCCAAATTAAACTTCATCTGCCACTTCTCAGCCTAATACCCCAATTGATCAAGATCTCTTTATTATCTTTGATAACCTTCTTAACTGTCAACTATGCAACCAGTTTTTGTGTCATCCACAAATTTACTAACCAAACTTCCTCTATTCTCATCCAAATTATTGACAAATTACAAACAGAAGTGGACCCTGTACTAAACTCTGTGGAACACTGATGGTCACAGGCCTACAGTGCAAAAAACAACTTGCCACCATCAAGCCAATTTTGTATCTAATTGGCAAGGTCACCCTAATCCCATGTGATCTAACTTTACTAATTTAGCTTACCATGCAGAACCTTGTCAAATGTTTTACTGAAGTCCATGTGAAAAATGTTTACAGCTCTGACCTCCATCTTTTTGGTTACTCAATCAAGTTTTTGAGACATGATTTACCTCACATAAAACCATCTTAACTATCCCTAATCAGTCCTTGCCTTTCCAAATGCAGGTAAATCCTTTCTTTCAGATGTCAGGTTCATAGGTCTATAGTTATGAAGCTTCTCCTTACCTGAACCATCAGCAAATTACTGCAGGGAAAATGATTACAGTTAAGTGCATGGCTCAGAGATTGGTGTTGGAAAAATTAGTTTCTTTGATGGGACATTGGCATCTGTATTGGGGAAAGTGGGAGCTATAGCATTGGGACAGTTGTGAGCATTGTATTATAATTGGTGAGTTGTATAATTAGGACAGATTTAAACTAAATAGTGGAAGAGGGGGATCAAGTTTGAGTGGATGTGATAAATTGATTCGAGATACCAAGGCAAAAAAGCATGGTAGCAATAAATGAAATGATGATGATCAGAACATGAGAGGTAGTGAAAGACTGCAAAAACCTAAGAGTGCACTATCAGATAAGACCTCATCTACAAAGATAGTATAAAGAACAGTTAAAGTAATTAGTTAAATAAAGAAAAGAAATAGAAGGCAAATTGTTTTCATTAAATGAGTGGTGGGTGTGTAATTAATGGGGAGACAGTGAGAGAGAAAAAGGAGAGGGGACAGGACACAGTTTGCATCTGTCCTCACATTTGAGGAGACAAGTAATATCTCAGAAATGGTTATGACTTAGGAAGTGAAAAGGAGGGAGGAACCAAAAACAATTACATTCACTGGAAAAGGGTAGTAGGAAAATTATTAGAACTAAAAGCTGACGATTTCTAAGGCCCTGATGGGCTTCATTCCAGGGTACTAACAGAAATGGCTGCTGAAACAGCAGATGCAAATGCTTTATTATATTTTGGAAAACAGCAAATGTGACTTCTCTATTCAAGAAAGTTTGGGGCGAGTAGGGGAAGAGACAGAACGCAGGAAACTCCAGGATAGTTATTTCAACATCGGAGATGGCAAAAATGCTGGAATCTTTTATTAAGACTGTATAGCAAGGCACTGAGATCATCTCAATGCTATCAGGCAGAACCACCACAGTTCTATGAAAGGAAAATCATGTTGGACTAACTTTGTGGAGGTTGTTGTTGGAAGTAACAAAATTTACACAAAGGGGAACACGTACTTAGGTTTGTGGATGGTATTTGACAAGGTGTCATGTCAAATGATACACAAAATAAGAGCTCATGGTCAACTGAGTAATATCGTGTGAACAGAGGATGGGATTTTTAACATGAAACAGAAAGCAGGCATTGATGGATCATTTTCAGTTTGGCAAGATATGAATACACAAAATTAGTTTTGGGTCCTCAACTGTTTTCAACTTATATTAACAACTTAGATGAAGGGAACAAATGTATGGTTGCTGAATTTGCTGATGCCACTAAGACAAATAGAAAAGTAAGTTGTGAAATGGCCATGAGGAGTCTGCAAAGATATGTTAAGTGATGTAGATATGTTAAGTGTTAGATGTAGGATAATGACAACTTTCTTAGGCAGAAATAGAAAAGGAACAAATTATTTAAATGGTAGTGGGATTTAGAGTGGAGAGCACATCATATCAGCCCAGAATTTATTGAAGAGTGGAACAAACTCGACGGGCCAAAGAGCCTAATTCTGTTCCTAATTCTTACATTTATATACCTGTCCTTTAGATCTCTAAAATATTAATTCACTACATTTTCTGTAAGATTACCAGGTGATTTTTTTTTTTAAGCTAAGGGAAATTTTGAAGAAAAAAGTGTGCACAGTTCAAGATGATGTCCTGGCATCACTTCTTGGGTACTGTTTTCAAGTTATTACAATGTAATTTGATAATCTCTTTCTAAAATAACTCATTTGGCAAATATGTATTTGCACAATTAAATCATCCATTTGTAATCATGATGTTGCTCCCATTACACTCTTCAGTCTGCAGCTAAATACAAGTCTACTAAAGTAAAATAACTTCATATAACTATCGTTGAACTAAGATAATAACTTGCAGTTACATAGACCTTTAGTGGAGCAAAACATCCCAAGAAATCCCATTTTAAAAGGCGAGAGAGGAAGCAGAACATACCTAATTCAAAGTCAAAAATTAGAGGCATGTCATTAAAACATGGTCAGAGAAATAGATTTACACTTTACATCAACAGATAAAGCTGCAAAGTGAAAGCACTGGGGGGAGAAAAAAGACAGTGCTTTAAGGTTTTGGTGAGTTTTGAGCTCTAAGATTGAGGAGCAAGTTAACATTTGCAATGTTTATTCACCTACAATGGTGGATAATATATCAGAAATCACATGGACTTTTCTGCTTGGAAAGGCCACACTGCCAGTCTATTTAATTTTAACCAAAAATGTCATGCACAAATGATAATTTAACAAAAGTAACAAAATACAGTAAAATACAGAAAAAAACAAAATCAGCGTAAAGCAAGGAAAAAATTATCAGCCCACAAGAGATTAAATTAGCACATATATGTTGTACAATTCAATAATCTTCAAGATTTTTCAGTCAACAGGCAATTCCTCTGTTAGCCTCACAAAGTTCAACTTCACGGTAAACTGAGCTAAATCTTTAGTTCTTATCCCAAGCAAAAAGCCTCCAGAGACTCCAAGTATACAATGGAGCATATTGTGCATTGCATGGCTAAAGGAACAGATGTTCCCACTTTGAATACTTTTTAAATGCTTTGACTATGTATAATTTGATTAGCAGCCTTGTATAAAGGACTTGCTAACCTTAAAATATTAAGGATCAGACAGGCTGGCCTGCTTTCTTGCAGATAATTTAGCTCAAGTCTCCATTTTGAATTTTTGAAAGTCAGAATCTATTATGACTCTAGTTATTTCAAACCTGAATGAACTAAATACATATTTCTCCTTACATAACGCAAAATGATACTCTGCATTTGCCTACATGAAAATTCACTGCCAGGTCAGTAGAAGGAGATAAGGAATGCACATAACAAAAGAAAACGTGAGATACTAAAGTACCTATGTCCGTGTTCCATGACAGCATCATCAAAATGTTACTACTGTGGAGTGAATACTAGTCAATGACGTATGCATAGCACACAACAATTCTAATTGCCTTCAAAGCTGTTTACATCAAGGTACAAAAGAATATACTTGTAATTCAATTGTATAAATGCAAGATATAGTTTGTATAATTAAGAACACTGAACTTAAATGGAAATTTCAGTTCAACAGAAATTCTAAAACAATTGAGAGAGTTTGACGAAGAGGTAAAGATCTGTTTCAAGATGAACACTAATGCCAGTACTGTCAACTTTGAAGATTAGGCAGGGTCTACAGTTGGAAACCATCACTAGATGCAGCCCTCCATTCTAAAATTTTGATCTGGGGATACATGATGACAACAAGTTTGCAAATTACTTGTACGATCCAATCCCATCAATGAATGGGAACGTAAAACCAATCTGTGATGCTGAAGAAAGACCTCAGTGATGGCATGATAAACTTGTTGAACTAAAATAATGACAAATGAGGGAGTACAGGTGCTAGCACAAGTCAGAGAATTGAAAGGTTGGTTAAGTTGAGAAAAATGACAAGTTGTGCACACATTAGTCATATGATGGCTACTGAGATTGTTATTGTTAGGAAAGATTGATGGTAATAAATTAGGATGCAAGCAAGACAGGAAGACACTGTTAGGTATGAAAGAATGAACAGGGAAATTGCAGAGGCTAATATAATCTACATAGGCAAAGGTTAGCAATTATGCATAGTACAGGTTGTCAATTTTCAGACTGAGGCAGGTGGATAAAGAGGCAGAAGAAATTATTTTAACAGGAAAATGACCACACAAGATAAAGTGCTGCAGGCGCTGCAATTTTCATATGTTATACCTGCCTGGTATATTTCAAACTGAGGTATAACAGTAGTCTAACACAACAAAACTTGCAATGTTGCATGTGTGTTATGGATTCCTCATTGACAGAAAGCATACATACACACCTTCTTGCTAATGCATAACACTCAATGTTTCCATTGCACCAAAGAGCAAAACTGGAAAGAGCCACTAATGTACAGAAACAAGTTGAAAACATTCCCTTGAATGACTGAACAATTCCTGTAATCATTATTTAGGTGCTTTACCAATAACTGCCTTTGCCTTCCCGTTTACCTGAAAAACGTGTGGTGTTCGATGCAGACTTTCCAGAGTCTCTTGGCAGCTCGGTGATTTGGAAGCTTGAAACCAATGGTGCTTTCAAACTGTTCATACTGGAAAATTAAATGAAATATTAAAATAATAGAACTTCTACATTTTCAGTCAATTAATCTAGGAGAGAACGGCTGTTTTCCCTTGACTTCTAATAGTTGTATGTAAAAATCTAATAATGTCATATCAGTTGCTGAGCAAGATGGGGTGGAGTTTATAACAGTGAGAAGGAGAAAGACTGACTCATAGCTGGATAATTAGGGAACAAAGGTAGTGGCTCATTATCTTTCAATACGGTAACAGTAGAAAGGCTCCAACTGCCTTCACATCTGTGTAAGTATGGTGCTCTCCCACTGGTTAGCACCATGTTGTACATTCTGACATTAGCACATGGCAAGTGAAGTGCTAGAACATTGAAATGAAGAAACATGGATTGGGTGCCTAATGTATTTTTATTATTTTCTACTTTCAATTGTTTGTGGGCCCTCCCACATAACAACAATCTCAATATGAATGGCAGCATCCTTCTACCCAGCCACGTAGTGTGTTTGGTTACAAATGCAGAAAAATGCTGCAGAGACTCAGCAGATCTGAGAGCCTTCGGCGAGAGAAACAGAGGTAAAATTTCGAGTCCAGTATGGTTCTTCTTCAGAGTCCAAGTATTCTTACAAAGTCATACTGAGTTTGCAACATTAACTCTGTTTCTCTCCCCCTAGGTGCTGCCAGACTCGCTGAGTTTCTCCAACATTTTCTATTTTGTTTCAGATTTCCAGCATCTGCGGTATTTTGCTTTTATTTGGGTGTTTGGTCAGTTAACCCCTGACAAATGGATACTGTGTGACCAAGTCTAACAACAATTAACAGCCTTCCTCTTGAGCCTAAATTCTCAAGGAACATTCAATAAAGGTGATAAATGTTATCTACATTCAACAATTTGCAAACGCGACCACATGACTAACAATGCTGGGGACCAGATAGAATAGCTTGAGTGGAGACATTGCTGCCTCACGTTAAAGTTGACGATTAAGAGAGTTATAGAATTTTACAGTACACAGGAAGGCCATTCGACTCATTGTATCTGTACCAGCTCCCAAAAGAGCTACCCAGCCAGTCCCACTTTCCAGCCCTACCTCTGGAGCCCTCTAAATTCATCACTTTGAAAGATATATCCAGCTTTCTTTTGAAGCCTCCAGTGGGATTTGCCTCCATCACTCTCCCAGGCAGTGCATTCAGTATCCAAACAATTCTCCGAGTAAAGAAATTCCTCCTCATCTCATTGTTCACTCTCTTGCTACAATCTTGAAATTGTGACCCCCTGGTTACTGACATACCAACTAGTGGAAAAAGAATATCCTTCTTTACCCTATCAAATTATTCTTAATTGTGAACACCTCATTAAGGTGACCTCTTAATCTTCTGTTTCAAGAAGAATAAGCCCAATTTCACTAACCTTTCCTTGTCTCTAAAATCTCTCACCACCGGTATCGTTCAAGTAAATCAAGAGTCAAAGAGCTTTAATGAGTGTGTCTTAAAGGATAAAAATGAGATAGGCAAAGGGGTTTCAGGAGCAAATTTCAGAGCTTAGGTAGCTGAAATCATGGCTAACAATGGTAGAATGAATAAACATGGAAATACACAAGAGGCCAGAATTAGAGAGGTACAGAGATCTGAAAGTTGGAGGGCTAGAGTGCTACAAAGTTTTAGACGTAAGGCTGTGGAGAATTTGAAAATAAGGATATGTACTTTAAAACTGAAGCATGTCCGTACCAGCTGTTCATATAAATCTGTGAGGATATGGGACTTTGGTGAAAATTTGGATATGGGTGATAGAATTCTTGATTATGTCAAGCTTATGGACGATAGAAACCAGAAGCATGGACAGCAGAGCATTGGAACAGTCAAGTCTAGAGGTGACAAATAACTGAATGAGAGTTTAAGCAGAAGATGAGGTGAGGCAAGGTAGGAGATGCATATTTTATGAAAATGGAGATTTATATGAGGTTAGAAGCTCATCACAGGGTCACTCGGTGTGGTGGTGGTCTTTTGGCAGTCTCTCGGCCCAGCATGGTGGTCTTCCAGCTGCCCAAACGGTCTTTTGGTCTGGTATGGCCTTCAGGTGATTCCAGAGCGGTCTCCCAGCCTCAGGAACCTTGAGGCAAAGCCTGGCACAGTGTAGAGGCAAGGCCCAGCACGGACTGGAGGCTCAGTGCCAGCGTGGACTGGGTTGGAAGGACCGTTACTCTGAACTTGTTATTTCTTTGTTTTCTACAATCTGCAATGCTGGATTTTATTTTTCTAATTTTATTTCCTAAGAACTTGTATGTTAGAATCTGTACCTAGGCACCTTTGTACCTAAGATGGCACCTTGTGCTGTAAGTGGTGACTTGTAAACTTTTCACTGTATTCATCTGAGTACATGAGAAAATAAAGCTAATTCAATTCAATTCAGTTCAATTCAGTAAGTATACCAAGGTCGTGAATGATCTGGATCAACCTCAAAAAATGTCTAGGGTGAGGGATGGAGTTAGTAGCAGAGATGGAAGTGTATCCAAATTTCCCAACATTTAGCTGGAAAAAATTTCTCGTCAGAGTACTGGGTACTGAACAATCAGTCTAATAAGTCAGAAATGGAGGAGGGGTCGAGAGTAAAGTGGTAGAAATCGTCAACCTACATGTGGACCCTGATGTTGATTTTGAAGTCCTCATGCTGCCTGAGGGCAAAGGATTGGGAGGAAGTCAGGGATAGACCACTGAGAGTCTCCAGAGGTAGCACTGAGCAGCGAGAGTATGGGAAGAATAAAATCTTTGCTTTTGTCATAGTGCCATCCATGTTTGAATGATGACTATTTTGCAAGTGATACATGATAATTGAGTATGATCACCAGATGGCAGCCTGACAGAAATGCAAACAGCACTCTAGAAAAATAAGGCATAATGTAGCAGCTTTTTTTTCAGCATGTAAAACATAGAATATTCTTTAATGCACAAAAAGTATTCCTGTTTATTTTTCATTAAATTTGTTCCCTATTAGTGTTACTAATTATTAAATGTGTTAGTTTAGAAGGATGTCATTATTTGCAAAGCATATTAATGTGGTGATTCTACATTTGCTTTCTCAATACAGTAATCACCTAAGCTGCATCCATAAATGACAAATGAAAAATATTATAACGACCTGAAAATAAGACAGCTGCGTAAAGACTACCTCACAAGGCAAAGAGCTGATCTAAACCAGTGATTTCAACTGATGTAAACAAACAGCTTCTTCACTTCAACATAGTTTCTGGATATAGGATTTCACACCAGAACGGAGTTGCCTGAAAACTTCCAAGGTCACAAGCCCCTTAAACATTCAAACAAAAACAAACTCTGAGTGCTCTCTGCTTTCTGGTTAAATCACTAAGAATTATGTACAGGCAAAAGGGATGGTGGTTTCCCAGTTAATGTATTGGCTTAACAATGCAAACATCATCTGTTTAAATTTCGAGAGGATGAGTTAGAAAACTGAATTCAGTAAATTTGGCAATTTGTAGCTCAGCACGAAAAGCATGAAATCTGCAAATGGTTTCTTATAACAAGGATGGAAAATTTCTGCCCATGCCTGGTCTGACCTAAACCAATTTGGTTGACTTACAACTTGGTTCTGAAGTGACCTAGCAAGATAGCCAGTCATATCTTGATTTTCTCAGGGCAAAAAGAGATGGATAATCAATATTGTCTGCGTCAGAAACGCCAACATCCTGAAAATTAGATTTTTTATTAAAAATGTATCTAAATTCTGAAATTTGTAGCTAACTCTTAATCATCTCATGATAATGCAGGATGGGCAATTAGTGTCACCTTGTCATTGTCATCCATGTCCCAAAGCTAAAACAAAGACCGCAAGAAAAATCATGAACATTGATGAATCAAAAGGGATGCCAGAAAAACTTAAATGTATCTCAACCCCAGGATTTCTACTCGCAATCTTTAATACTTCAAATAATCCCCATTATCCAGAACCAATATCTTATACAACAGAAGTTTCCAATGTTACAGGAGTATTTGTTACTCAGAATTAGAGACTAAATATTACATGCCACACTGCTGGATGATTTTATGGTGGCTATTTGCGCAGCAGCTGAGGCAATGCCATCATTTACTTGCAAAGCTGGCTATATAGATGCGTCGTCACATTTCTAATAATTTACAAGTGTCATACTCTATCATGCTTCTTTTCAACAAAAACCGGTGAGTAAAGTATCTGCTGGGAATAAAGATATCTAAGCACTGTGTGCCCAACCAGCTTTGTGTTAATTTCTACTCTCTTTTATTCATAGCTTCTCTGCAAATATTTGTTGCACTGACACAAAATGCAATTCACAAGAACATTTATTTTTGTTACTTAGCAGTGCTCCATGTTGCTGGGTATAATGTTAACAGGGACCACAATGGTTCAAGAAAGTAGCTCTCTACCACCTTCTCAAGGGCAATTAGGGACAGACTATAAATGCTGTCCAACCAGCAATGCCCATGTCCCACAAGTGAAATAAAAAAAAGCTTCACCACTAGTGCCATCTTATAACTAGTTTTCGCTGAACAATTCAGAAACATAGGACACCGTTCAACAAAGCAACATAAACATTTGTACTTTATTCTTCAAATGCAAATGGATAATTATAGGAATTGCCAAACTGTCAAGTATCATCTGTTAAAACAGAACTAAGGTTTACAGTAGTGTATTGTCAATGCTGAAAAGACAAAAAAAAACTGCATAATACTCAAAAAGACATGGTCAAAGAATTCAAACAATTCTTCTTTCTAATCATTGAATGCCCTGACAGCATTTTTCAATCTGCCTAGTACAGTTCTGTAAACTTGTTTGGCAGATTACTCTTCTATATCAGTCTCTGCGGGTGATGAACAATGGGCAAAATTTTGCAGCTATCAAAACAGACACTATTTGCTGGGGGAGGTGATGACCCAGTGGTGTTATCGCCAGATTGTTAATCCAGAGACCCAGGTAATGGTCTGGGGCTCCGAGTCTGAATCCTGCCATAGCAGATGGTAGAATTTGAATTCATTATATAAATTAATCAACATTAAAATAAAATCTGGAATGAAGAGTCTAATAATGACCGTGAAATCATTGCTGATTGTCAGGAAAAAGCCATCTGGTTCATTGATGGCCTTTAGGGAAGGAGTCTGGCCTGTTTGTGACTCCAGACCCACAGCAGTCTTAACTACCCTCTGGGATGGGCAATAAATGTTGGACTAACCAGTGATGCCCTCATCCCATGAATGAATTAAAAACAAAGTCAATCTATGTCACCAGTAGAGGTCAATGAGTGTCTATTTTGAGAAAGATTATAGTTTTTCTGCCATTTCTATATATAGATATTTTCAATCAACCTGTTTAGAAATGCTATTGAACACCTCTGCAACAGGTGGGACTTGAACCCAGACCTTTTGGCTCGTAGGTAGGGACACTATCACTGTGCCACAAGGGCTCAGTTGGCTGGATGGTCATTGAGTGATGCCAACAGCACGTGTTCAATTTCTGCACTTGCTGAGGTTACCATGACGGACTCTCCTTCTCAACCTCTCCCCTCATCTGAGGTTTGGAGACCCTCAGGTTAAACCACTCTATCTAATGAAGGAGCAGTCCTTATGGTCTGGTAAGATAATGGTGACTTTACCTTTTTATACACTTTTATTGTTCTTCGAAGCTTAGCTATTTTTACCATCTGCTCACAACTGTCACCATTTGTAAACATTCTAATTAGCTGCAAGAATCAAAATATATTCTGGTAAATTTATTCAATACTGAACATCATGTTAATTAATGTTAACAATTTTCATTCCACTGGGAAATGGTTTAGGATGCTATACTATACAGTGTCCTTTCATAGCTGTAGCATTTATTGACAAGTCAAAACGAAAAAAATGATTTTTCCATATAGATCAGCAGTTAACAGATTTCAGGTTGACTATAGGATTACTTTAATAAAAAAACACAAAGAACTGTGGATGGTGGAAAACTGAAACAAAAACAGGAAGTGCAGGAGAAACTGTGGCACTATCTGTACAGAGAAAAACAAAGTTAATGTTTCAGTCCAGTGAGTCTTCGTCAGAACTGAAAATAGCTGGGAAAGGACGTATTTCTGCTGATGATGGGAGCTTAGCGGTGTTTAGGGCAGGAGAGGGGGTGTTGGTTAATAGAGTACGTGGAGACTGGGCCCAGAAAGAGAAATAAAGGTAGATAGGCAAACAAAGAGACAGCTGACAAGGGGACAGAGAGAGAGAGAGAGAGAGAGAGAGAGAGAGAGAGAGA